TGTAAGGTCTCTTTGGAGAAATCAGCTGACAGTCTGATGGGAGCTCCTTTGTAGGTGACTGTCCCCTTAGCTCTTGCTGCTTCTAGAATTCTCTCCTTCATTTTAATCTTGGCTAATGTAATGATGATGTGCCTTGGTGTGTTCCTCCTTGGGTCCACCTTCTTTGGGACTCTCTGAGCTTCTTGGACTTCTTGGAAGTCTATTTTCTTTGCCAGATTGAGGAAGTTCTTCTTTATTATTGGATCAAGTAAGTTTTCCACTTTTTGCTCTTGCTCTTCCCCTTCTGGTACCCCTATAATTCGGATGTTGGAACGCTTAAAGATGTCCTGGAGGTTCCCAAGTCTCTCCTCATTTTTTTTTTTGAATGCTTGTTTCTTTATTCTTTTCTGTTTGGTCATTTTTTCTTCCTTCAGGTCCACTCCCTTAATTTGAGTCCCAGTTTCTTTTCCATCACTATTGGTTTCCTGTGCATTTCCCTTCATTTCAATTAGTTTAGCCTTCACTTGTTCCTCTATTTTGTGACTAAACCAGTTCTGTGAGCATCCTGATCACCAGTGTTTTGAACTGGGCATCTGATAGGTTGACTATCTCTTGGTCGCTTATAAGTATTGGCTCTGGGACTTTGAGCTGTTCTTCTGCCTCAGCCACTATGTTTTGGTATGTTCTCGCCTGTTATATATGAGGGGCGGAGACTTAGGTGTTCACTAGGGCGTGGCGACCCAGTTGTTGGGTTGTGATACTATATGTGGGGGTGGGGTCAGAGAGGGGCAATGGGGTCTGTTCTGCTCTCTGTCAGATTTTGGTCCCCTCTGCTGCTTCCCGCAAGCAAATTGGACCCTTCTGGTGCCAGTTCCGGGTGTGTGGGCCTGTGCACCCTCCAGGGCCCTTGTAGGTCTCTCCAATGAACTCTCTGTGAGCCTGGGAGCCTCTCCCGGCACCTTGACCCCAAAAGTTTTTCCAATCAGCACTTTTAGGCTTTAACTCCCATTGCTGGGGCCCTAGTTTGTGCGGTCTGCCCCACTGCTCACTCCTTTGCCTGGTTTACCTGAGTGTGAATGTGTGACCCCAGTCAGCCAGCCACCTTGCGCCCTCACTGGGTCCGCCCATTGCCACCCCATACCTGGGATCTGCCAACCACCGCCTGCGAGCCTGGGTGGGTCAGGCCTCTTTTTTCTGTGCAACCCCACTCCACCAGCCACTGACTCCGCCCTTCTTACCGGTCTCACAGAACGGTTCGTTGTTGTTGGATTTCCACTTCTGTACAATTCAATTCTCTGTGTTTTGGTTGCATTTCTGTTACAAAAACTTTGTTGTCTTTAAACTTGGTTGTGTGAGGAGACACCACCTATGCTTCCATCTTGGCCGGAAGTCCAAAGGATCATTTTTTAAAATATTACAATTATCCATGGCTGGTGTGGCTCAGTGAATTGAGCGAACCAAAGGGTCGCTGGTTCAATTCCCAGCCAGGGCGCATGCCCAGGTTGTGAGTTAGGTCCCCAGTAGGGGGTGCTCATGAGGCAACCACACATTGATGTTTCTCTCCCTCTCTTCTCCCCCCATCTAAAAATAAATAAAATATTTAAACAAATAAATAAAAATACTACAAGTATACACCAACAAATTGGATAAACTTCTAACCCAAATTGGGAAAAAATGGGTAAATTCTTAGAATAAGACAATTCTCCAAGACTGAATCAGGAAGAAAGAGAAAATCTGAACAGATAGCTACTAACAAAATCAAATCAGATGACCAGTAGACATACAAAAAGATACTCAATGTTACTCAGCAGAGAAATGTGAATTATAGCCACAATGAGATATTGTCCCCTTACACCTGTCAGAACCAACAGCAAATCAATAAACAGCAAGGGTTAGGGAGGATGTGGAGAAAAGTGAACCCTTGCACCCTGTGGGTGGGCCCTTGTGTCACTGTTCCCTGTGGAAAACAAGAGCCAAGGTATGAACACAAAGTGTGAGTCCATCAATAGACAACTAGATAAAGAAGATTAGTGCACTTACATAATAGAATACTACTCAGTCAGAAAAAGAATGAAATCTTACATTTGCAACAGCCTGCATGGACCTGGAGGGTATTGTGCTAAATGAAATACGGCAGAGAAAGACAAACACCATATGATGTCACTCACGTGGAATCTAAGAAAGAAAAGAAACAAACAAAACAGAAACAGACTCATAGAAACAGAGAAGTAACATGGAGTTTCCAGACTGGGGCGAGCTGGGGGGTGGGTGAGAAAGATGAAAGGACTAAGAAGTATAGACTAACAGTCACAGAATAGTCATGGGGATGTAAATTACAGCACTATTATTATAGTCAATAGTATTGTAATTATGTGATGCTAGGTGGCACTAGACTTATCAGGGTGAACAATATGTAAGATATATAAATGTGCCGCGGTCCGGCCGCAGCGGGTCAAGGGGTCCCACAGGTGAGGGTAGGCGTCGGCGCTGGGTAACAGACGACAACACGCCTCAAAGGACAGTGAAGCTCTGTTCCATTTATTGCAAGTACAAGCAGGTTTTTATATTTTTCATTTTAGGTAGTGATTAACATTTGCAGGTGTATAGGACGATCAGTTAAGCAGAAAAAAATCAATATAAAGGTAACCAGGAAAAGTACAAGAATTTCCATAGTTTCAATTATATTATATAAAAATTGTTTTGACTAGGAGAACCATTAATCAGACCATTTGAAATAACTCTATGTACAGAGTTTGAATATCTTATTGTTTATTAAAGGTCTAAATTTTGGCATGGGGCAAGAGGTACGCTAGACTGAGCAGAGGTTAGGAAATTTATTATAAGGCCTTTGTGATGTCTAACTTAGCTATTTATCTTTCTGTCTAAAATGTTTCTCTATGTACTGTGGACTCTAACTCCTTGGTAATTGTATCTATGTGCTTAGTTTATAGTATCTAACAAGCTTTTCTTGTTTCTTTGCCTACTAAATTCTAATTAATATATATTCCTGTTCAAGGTAAAGGAGGGGCTGTTACTTCAACAACTTCTAAACATTTAGGGACTATTTCATTAGAGGGAACTTTGTTCTCTGGTCAAGAAATTATTTTGTACAACTCCATTGGAATTATGCGAATCAATGAACCTGAAATATAAATGTCTAACAATTCCACCACCTTTTGATTACCCAAACAAATATGTAACTTGTTTTTCTTATTTCTGGTATACTATGGCGGTCCCGATCGCCTTAAGTTGCTCAAACTAGGGTAATTTATACAACTTGACATGTTTTCCCTTATGGTTAATAATTATATTACCTTGGCTGTTGTACTCCCCTGTATAAGGGAGAGGGGAATCTGTGGAAATTTTTCTATCCTTTCAGGCAGTTTCATGGGGAATAGTAATGTCTTCCCCTAAACTGTTCCCTCCTCTTTGGTGATTTTCACAGGAATAAGTAAGTACAGTACAATGTCCATACTCAGTAGCAAGAGTAAAATAATTAAAATAAAACAGCCAGTTGTTAACCCATTTTGGATGCCACATTCTCTTCCGGGCGTTTTAGATATGTCTAAAATTGACTCGGGGGGGGTAAACATGCCCTCCTGGTTAACCTGTGTACTTGTCTATGCCCTTCCTTATTTCCTCTTTTGCTATGGGTTCTAATTCTTTTATTTCTTTTAATATTTGTTCTCTCTTCTCGGGCCAGTATGTAAGGTACCGTGGCCCGGGAAAATATCTTGTGAGGCTTTTTCTAACTTTCTATTAATTCTCTAATACTCATATTTTGCTTCCTGATTTTTCTGGTGTGTTACTATGGTTACTTTCTTTGTTCCAAGAACTCTCTAAATCATCTGGAGTCACATCACTCAATGTGCTTTCTAAAGTAGTATTACTTTGTTCAGTGAACAGGGTCGATGTACTTTCTGAAATATTATTACTTTGTTTAGTGAACAGGGAAAGATCTGCTTGTACTATTTGGATCACAGCAATGGTGTTCAAAATAATCAGGGCAGAAGAGGTTAAAATCCCCAAAGCAAGAACAGTCATAATGAGTATAGCAGGGCCCTCCACGCCATGTCCACCAGGTTGGAAAATGCTTCTTTGAAGTCTTGGACCTCCCCTCCTGACTTTGTCAAGGAAGGGATCCAACTGTGGACGTGGCATAAATGTATAACCACTTTGTTGTAAAGCAGAAACTAATATAATATTGAATGCCAACTGTAACTGAAACATTACAATTTAAAAAAAACTAAAGCTATAGGTACGGACATGGCTAAACCTCAAAAACATGTTGAAGAAAAAGAGCAAGTCACAGTTTCACTGTTTGCAAAACGAGAGCATATAGCATTTAGTGGTTCATAAACACGCAGTGACTGTGTGACCACGCCTCAGCATTGTTGATATGGCGCCTAGGTCAAGATCAGCCTAACTCTGGAGAAGGGAGGAGATAGGACCAGGGCAGGGGGCGGGGCCAGGACCAGGGCAGGGGGCGGGGCCATGCACGCACTTTGTGCACATCTGCGATGCTCCGCATGTAGTAATGATAGACTGTCAGTTCATGGATCAGGATTCTGGTTGAACAACAGCGCAGAGGAGGCGACAAGGCCACCCAGATCTGCAGGGTAACGAAGACACTCACAGGATGGTCTCTATTTATTGTTTTTGCATGAGTTTATGAATAGTTTTTCTTATTTAAATCCAGATATTTTATTTCTGACATAAAAAGCAATAGTCAACTAATCAGTTGATATATTTACAGGAATAAAACATGTTCTAAGATATAAAATGCTTTTAAATTCATATAATACTTTTACTGCCTTAAATAATATGGTAAATGCTAAATCTTTATGCTAAAACTCCTCTATTTTATTATCTTTTGGATATACATTAGCCACATTTTAGAGACAGCATTCGTTCAAGACAGGCCAGGGAATAACATGTGGAAATCTATACCACGAAAAAATGTGAGGGAATCCAATATCTGTGAGTTCCAATTTTACGAGATCAAACCATTTTAAACTCACCTCCGCTCCGTGAGGAAGGAACCTAAATCCTGGTCCGCAGGTGCCCAGCCGCTCTGCGCAGCTGCCCCGCTGGGGTAGGGGCTCGCCGGGTCTGACCAGCTGCCTCCCGGCTGTGGCGGGCGGACGCTGGCGGGGAGTCCCGGGCCGGTTGGCAGGGGGGCGGACGTCTGATGGAGTTCCACTTCCAGCGCGCCCGAGGGCAGCCTGCCACCTTCCTTCTCTAGATGCATGGTCCGTTGTCACTCTTCCCACTAGGGTCCGCCAGAGAGAAGCCACTATTAATTACTGAGAATATTGAGAATATTGTTTGCACCTTGAAAATCGATCATTCTAAATGAAACAAAAAGGCTTCTTATTTTGAGAGAGAGAACATTGTTTTTCCACTTATTGATTGATTGATTCTTGTATGTGCCCTGACCAGGGATCAAACCCATAACCTTGTCTTGGCATATCCAGATGACACTCTAAGGAAACTGTGTGGTCCTCAACATTTGAATATTTTTGGACACATAACTTGTAATGATGCTGTGATATGTGTATATTGGTATTGGGAAATGGGGGGGGCAGTAATAGAGAAAGGGGAAGGGAAGGAGAAAGAGGGAAACATCGATGTGTGGTTGCCTCTCAGTGCACCCCAAGGGGACCTGGCTCATAACCCAGGCCTGTACTCTGACTGGGAATTGAACCAACAGCCCTGTGGTTCGTTCACAGGCCGGGCTCAATCTACTGCGCCACACCAGCCAGGGGAATCCTGGGAAATTTTTCTTGAAATGTATGTGTTGTACGCATAGAAGAGAAACCAGAAAGAACCCAGCCTCTAAGACGTGGCTCCCTCTGATGGAGCAGATTCAGGTGACTGAGGCCCTCTGGTTTGCTGTCCCAGAGTGCTGAGCGGTCAGGAATCCCCCCCGAACTTTACCGGAGTGGGCGTTGCAGCAGCGAGAAGCAATGCGCATGCGCATGGGTGGACCGAGTACAACTCCCGAGTCCACCCCTCCTTGTCCCCCCAGAGAAGGAGACACGTAGGGTAGTGTACTTGGAGATTTCATTTCTCTCTTAGCAACAGATAGAACAACTAGACAGAGGATCAGCAAGGATACACAAGTGAACACCATCAGCCAAGAGGACCTAACTGATATTTATTGAACATTCCATCCACCAACATCCAAACATTATTTTTAAGTTCTTACAGAAGATATACCAAGACAGACCACACCTTGGGCTAGCAAACAAACCTCAACAAATTCAAAAGGTCCTGGCCACTGGGTGGCTCAGTGGTTGAAGCATCATCCCATACCATGAAAAGGCCGCAGGTTCAATTCCTGGTCAGGGTACATACCTAGATTGCAGGTTGGATCCCCAGTTGTGGTGCATTTGGGAGGCGACCAATCATGTTTCTCTCTTACATTAATCTCTCTCTCTCTCTCTCTTCTGCCTCCCTCCCTGCCTCTCTCACTCTTTAAAATCAATAAAACCTATCTTCTGGTGAGGGTTTAAAAAAGAACTGAAATAATAGAGTGTTTTCTATAGCCACAATGGGATTAAGTTAGAGAATAGTAGTAACAGAAAGATACACACTTGGAAATTAAACAGCAATATGAGGAGGGACCCAAAAAAACAAAATTATCTTCTGGATGGCAGGCCCCATGTAGTACAGGCTTCCCCCACTAGGTGAGTGTTCTAGGAAGCCACCTGTATCAGTGCACCAGCTGGTGTTGTTGTGAGAGGCTGCGTTCGGCTTCAGTGAGTTTTTTTGAAGACTCTTGAAACACATTTGCCCTTTTCATGATGGGTGATTTACAAGCACACCTGCCCACATCACACAGAGTGTTCAGCAATTTTGGGCCAAAAAGAGCATACCTCTGTGCCCCACCTTCCCTATTCACCTGATCTCACCACAAGCAACTCTTTTTTGTTTCCTTGGGTGAAAAAAAGTCTTCAAAGGGAAATGTTTTCCTGATGTGGAAGACATGAAACAAAAAACAGCAGAAGCACTAAAAGGCATCAAAATCAATGAGCTCAAAACCTGTTCTGAGCAGTGGAAAAAACATCTCAATAGGTGTGTTACATCAAATGGATAGTACTTTGAAGGTGACTTAAGTTTAAACATGTAAGAATAAATACACAATTTTTTATAAATAAATTTCAGTTTTGGGGGGATCTCCCCTCATACCTTTCTCAATAATCCAGGAGTCAAAACGGAAATCTCAGTGTAAATCAAAGTTACACTGAACTGAATTAAAATAAAAGCATATCACAATTTGTGGCGCCCCGCTGAGGCAGTGATCAGAAGGGAATTTATAGTGCTAAATGCTCATGTTAGAAAAGAGAAAAGGTCTCAAATCAATAATATAAGCTTTCATCTCAATAACCTAGAAAATGAACAGCAAAATAAGACCAAAGCAAGCAGAAATAGGAAAATAATACACATAAGGTCAAGTCAATGAAGCATAAAAACAACTGAGAAAATCAATGAAGCAAAGATCTGCTTCCCTGGAAACATCAGTGGAATTTTCCAAACTCTAACACAAGTAACAAAGAAAAAAGAGATTAAGAACTGGCAAAACCTAAAATGAAACACAGTATCTGCCCTGGCTGGTGTGGCCCAGTGGATTGCGTGCCAGCCTGCAAACCAAAGGGTCACCAGTTTGATTCCCAGTCAGGGCACGTGCCTGAGTTGCAAGTCAGGTCCCAGTAGCAGGCGTGCGAGAGGCAAATACACATCGATGTTTCTCTCCCTCTCTTTGTCCTTCCCTTCCCCTCTCTCTATAAAATCCTTAAAAAAATAATAAAAACAATGTCACCAGAGACATAAAAGGATAATAACAGTACACTACAAACAACTCTACACACACACATTTGACAAGTTACATAAAAAACAATTCTTCAAGAAGCAAAAATTAGCCCAACTCACTATAAACCAGATGATTTGAATAACCCTAAAACTATTAAGTAAATTGGATTTGAATTTTTTTAGATTTTATTTTTATTTATTCTTAGAGAGGGGAAGAGAGAGAGGTAGATAAAGAAAGAAACATCAGTGTGTGAGTGTCTCTCACACGCCCCCTACTGGGGACCCAGCCAGCAACTCAGGCATGTGCCCTGACTAGGAACCGAACACGTGACTCTTTGGTTTTCAGGCCAGCACACAATCCACTGAGCCACACCAGTCAGGACTGTATTTAACCTTTTAAGTTCCCAAAAAAGAAATCTCCAGGCCCAGAGGGAAAATTCTACCAAACCATTAAAGAAGAATTAACACCCAATATTTTCCAGAAAAATAAAAGGTGAAGAACATTTCCCAATTATTTTATGAGGCTAGTAAAATTAGAAAGAATACCAAAAACCCTACAGACCAATATCATACACAAATATGGTACAAAAATCTTTAGCAAAACTCAGCAAAAGAAATTCGGCAGTATATAAAAAGAATTATACACTATAACCAAGTAGGGTTGACTCCAGGGATGCATGGCTGGTTTCAAACCCATGAGTGGATCATAGTTAAATAGTTAGAGTTACCACAGGACGCAGTAATTCCACTCCAGGGGATGCACCCAGAAGAAATAAAAACCTATGTTCACACAGAAACTTGTACATTAATAGTCATGGAAGCACCCATTATTCACAACACTCCAAGAATGGAAATGACTCAAGTGTCCACCACTAATTAATGGATAAATAAAAGCTGGGAGAGAATACTATTCTCTAGTAAAAAGGAATAGCATACTAATGCGTGCCAGAAACTGGATGAACACTGCATCTTAAGTGAAAGAAGCCAGTCACAGAAGAGCACCTAATGCCTGACTCCACTTTCACATAAAGTCGGCTGCCTAGACAAGTCGGTACAGACAGAAAGTAGATGTGAATGGGATAGCCTAGAGAAAAAAAACAGCCAAGCAAAACCGGGGGGAAACAGCAGCCCTCCTCGTAGCGCTCATTAAACGCCGCCGTTAAACGTCCTCTGGCGAAGAGATACCCACGAACTGAGCCTACCCGAGGGTCAGGGCAGGGGGGCATGGTTGGGGGTAATGAGGAACCGCTAGCAGGGGTTGGACGGGTGTCCAACCTTTTGGCATCTCTGGGCCACACTGGAAGAAGAGGAGTTGCCTTGAGCTACACATTGAATACACTGTGACACGTAATCACAAAAAAAATCTCATCGTGTTTTAAGTAAATTTAGGATTTTGTAGTGGGCTGCGTTCACAGCCAACCTGGGCTGTGTGTGCCCTGAGGGACCACAGGTTGGATGCCCCAGTGGGATTTTTGTTTTGAGTTGGTGAAAATGTTCTGGAATTGATGGTGCTGATGGTCACAAAATTCAATGAATATACTAAAAAGCTTTGAATTGTACCATTTAAATGAGTGGATTATACGTTAAGTGTATCTCAGTAAAGCTCATATAAACATCAATCTCATGGCTGGTGTGGCCCAGTGGATTTAGTGCTGGCCTGTGAACCAAATGGTTGCTGGTTCAATTCCCAGTCAGGGCACATACCTGGGTTGCAGGCCAGGTCCCCAGTTGGGGGTGTGCAAGAAGCAACTGATTGATCTTGCTCTCCCTCTCTTTCTCCCTCCCTTCCACTCTCTAAAAATTCATAAATAAAATCTTTAAAAGATATATTTATATATTTTAAAACATCAATCAATATATGCTAGCGTACTAACAGGCTAGGAAGAAAAATCACATCATCATATTAACTGATGCAGAAAAAGCATTTGACAAAATTCAACACCCATGACAAAAATTCTAACAAAAATAGGGGGACTTCCTCAGCTTGATAAAGAATATCTACAAAAATCCTGTAGCTAACATGACAATTAATGGTGAGAAAAGTGAAGCTTCCTGCCAAGATCAGGAACAAGACAGGGATGTCCACTCTTAACACTCTTATTTATCATAGTACTAGAAATTCTAGCCAGTGTGATAGGACAAGAAAAGGAAATAAAGGCAGAGAGAACAGAAAGAAATGAGGAAAGCTATCCCAGTTTGCAGATGGTATGATTGTCTGCACAAAAAAATTCCATGGAAGCCCTGGTTGGCATGGCCTACTTGGTTGGAACATCCTCCTAGAAACTAAAAGGTCACAGGTTCAATTCTGCGTCGGGGCACACACCTAGGTTGTGGGTTTAGTCCCCAATAAAGGCACAGTCAGGAGGCAACTGACTGATGTTTCTCTCTCTCTCTCTTCCTCCCTCCCCCACTCTCTAAAATTAGTGACCATGTCCTTGGGTAAGTATTAAAAAACAA